AATTGGTTTTAAATTATGATAAAACTAAGTTTATGGTTTTTACAAATAGAAATATTGATTTTAACAACATTCTCTTACGAGTAAATGATCATAATTTTGAACGTGTAGATAATCTTAAGTTTTTAGGTATTGTAATTAATCATAAATTGAAGTGGCATGAGCATATAAATGTGGTGTGCAATAAAATAGCAAAAAATATAGGTATTTTATATAAAGTTCATTTTATCCCTTAAATATTTTGAAAATGTTGTATCATACTTTAATAACACCATATTTTAATTACTGTATAGTTGCATGGGCAAATTTTAATAAAAATTATATGTTAAGGTTACTAAAGCTTCAAAAGAAAGCAATACGCATTATAACTCATTCCCAATATTATGCTCACTGTAATCCTTTATTTTGTAAACTTGGAATTTTGAATGTAATCGATATGCATAATTTTTATATTGCAGTTTTCATGTTTTCATGTTTTAATGGCAACTTGCCTACCTTTTTATCTACATGTTTTAACTTGAATTGTGATGTGCATAATTTTAATACTAGAAATGCCCTAAATTATCACCTCCTCAAGATTAGAACGACTTGTATGAAAAATTCACTATTTTTTAAAGGACCCTTAATATGGAATAGTATACCTCAGGAAATTAAAAAATGCAAAACTCTCAATCTTTTTAAAATCAAATATAAAAATTTCTATTAAACAAGTATGATAATCAGTATCAATAGTATCGGCCAATTTTTGACATTTTTTTAAATATACTCTGATCGTGCATGATAGTAAGTTTTAATATGTTCTTTGTTTTTTGTTCTGTTCTTTTGTTCTGTTCTTCTGTTCTCGTTTTCATGTATGTGTGTTTTAGGGGTAGGCTTTTATATAAGGAACTTCCCTCCTTTCTGCCTATCCCAAATGCTCTTATAAATTGCCATTGTATTTGTTATCACTTTCTTGTGTCTTTTTATATTTATAACTCCATTCTGTATTTGTATGTTTTAAATGTTTTTATGAAGAGTATTGAATAAAACTTTGAATTTGAACTTTGAATTTTGAATGCCATTTCATGTCGGTCGTTATCTATCATTTGAGTACCCACAACAATCCAATATGGAACTTTATAAACGGATAGCTTTCTTCGCGATAATCTGCACAGGACTTTGGCAGTTGATCCAGGTAAATAATCTCACTAATTAATTGCACTCTATTGATGCTCAGACGCTACTCATAATTGTTTTAGTTAACCTAAATCAGAACTCAACCTTTTCATGCAATGAACCCGATAAACGTTTAAAAAAAACCTTTTCGGTGTTTTTTCAACGGTAGTAATGTATTCCCTAATGTATTCGAAAAAGAAAGAATTCGTAACTTGTGCCTTTTAATCCCATACTCTTTCATATACCAAAATAGTAAGTACAATTGCAGTTTGATTTAATCTAGATATCAATATTGCTACTGTTTAAATCTGTTAACCGAGAAACTCATAATAGATCAACAGCCTTGTGTAGTGGTGATTATTTTACCTAACTACTAAGAAAGCATGCATGCTTGTTGGTAAGCAACCAGAGAACCGACGGTTTTACATCCTCTCCGAGAGACCTGGTAATGAGGATTAATGCCTTACCAAAGGGCACTAGCGCATTGCCTTGGTTTCGAATCCGGGTCGCCGGATTACGAGACCACTGCTTTACCAACTGAGCTATCGCGCCTCCACGAGACCAACCATGTCTGTTTTCGGTCTCATAAAACGTTGAATAGATTGCCAGGCCCACAAGCCAGTCTTTCGAACTGCTGATCTTATGGGCCATCAGTCTCGTAATTCAAGATTAGATTTTTAGAAATGCCCTCGAGAGCGAAATTGTCAGTCTTAGAGGCAATCAGTCTTGCGTTCCACCGTGAGCTAACCTATTAAAAGGACCGCGTGACCGAAATTGTCGGTTTCGAAATATGCCGGTCTCTATACGACCGTGGCCGTATTAACGTAGACCGAAATACCTGACAAGAACAAGAGGCCTTACAAGTAAATGACATTGTAGCGTATAATGCTTCCTCTATATTTGTTTAAGCATGGAGACATATACGTACATGTGTGTTTTACCATGGATCCCTGGCTTTACCTATCATTACATTTCACCTATATCCTGACTCCATTTTATACTATTAGATTGGTCATGTGACTTTGAAGAGGACAAATGTGGAATCATTGAGACAGAAGGGAGTTGGTCTATGACTTTGATCCAAGGTACGTGGTAGACATGAAACGTCTTTGCCTCTTCCTAAAACACATCTTATGTTCACTATTTAGCCCTTACACACGGAGAATACGGAACCAAATACGTAATTTGTTATATCTGTTTAATTTTCTTGTTTTATTCCATTTCTTTTACCAATGCAATCAACGCTCACAAAGAGGACCGTTGGCTTGGATTGACGAGCAAAACATAGCTGCCTCTATAAAACTCTCATACGAGAGGTCATTGTTTCGGTCGGTGCTCAGTGCTTACATCCTTCGACAAGGTGTTTCGCATGCATTTGTCCCTCTCTATCTAGGTATAGACACGCAATACAATCAGTAAATAATACGTGATTACCCTGTATAAATTGGACCAAATTGATATTTTAAGTTTAACTACATTTAACAAAATCGCGAAATAAAAACAAAACAATAATAAATGATGAATTTTCCTTTCGAATGTATTTTACAAACTATATACAGGGGCTCTAAGGGCAGATGTTGTTCCAAGCAGTCCAGGTGACATGTTCATATTCTCCATCCCGCACATCTTCACATCACCCAAAGGAATTTTATCTTTTAAATACAATATTTTGGGGCCTACAACATTAATGTCGGTCAAGGTCTGCAGGGAAGCAAGTGAACCTGCATTTACAGTTGCTGGTACGTTTATTCTAACGCAAGGTACTGAAGTCATTCCTTACTCGTGTGCAAGCAGAATGGATGTTGAGGTTTGTAATAAAAGGAATTATTTTCTAGTTTTCTTTGATATTGTACCTTTAAGCATGTTTCAAGCATGCTGACACAAGATGGGTCTCACGTTTGTATTTTTGTAATTTTAAGGCCTAAATAAAGTTGAAACATAATCATAACCACACGAATTACTATTCATATTGCACAATATATCATAACATTGTTTAAACAAATAGATTTCTTGGATATAAACAAGCGGTAAACAGTTGTATAACTGTTATAAAATTTGATGAGTATTGTCAGGCCTTAGAATAGCTAACCTAGGTCTTAATTTATATCATACTATACATGCATGTGTTTTTTCTATTTTACTCTTAGATTTATTTTTAAAATCCGTTTGGGAATATATTGAAGATCAGCAATGTCTAACAGGATATTTCCAAAAAGAGAAGGCCTTTTTGTTCTCCCCTGTTCTTAAATCATTCTTCATTATTGCAGATAACATTCATTGTCATAAGAGGTGTTGTAGCTCCTCTGATCAGAGTAGACAACATTCTAATATATGAAACACCATATATAGGTAAGTAGTTAAAGATACATTACTCTAGAAGTATAGGTGCACCTAATGCCATAAAGTTCGATCTACAGAAGATCTATCTTGTTATGAATCTAAAGAGAACGACTGAATTAATAAAACCACATTTAAATACATCGTAATAGAGATGTGATTCTAACACGGTAGCCAATGCTTTCAAGAAAAAACTAAATTGCAATGTCAGTTCCATTTTGTATTGCTTTTTGAAAGCCTGTCCGGATTACGTATTATATCATGTTCGCACGACCATGTCAATATAATGATGCCCATCGCACACTTCACGATCCTCCTGCGATCGATTTTCTAGGAAATTACAATTATATCAGATAGGGAAGTCTAAGCTAACATCATGTTCCTGATCTAATTTGTGAATAATATTAATAATGCTAACAACAGGAATTTTAGTGCATTTAATTTTTCTACTAACATTCACAGCCAATTTGGCTTAAAAATACATAATCGCTATATTGTTCTGACGTCACTGCGACTTTAAGCCGATTTAGCCACCTTTCCTCCGAGGAAGCATGAAATCCCTTGGAAGTTACATTTTATTTTCATATGACGATTCAGATACTCGGTCATTAAGATTTTTACATGTTTGAATGTCCATATGAAATGCTACTGCAATTAATCAAAAATCGGTTCATAATAAGATCATATAATATGCGGTGGGCTTCAGTAAAATCGTTTCAGGTTCATTTCATTAACGTCATTGCGATCTTCTTTGAATTTACTTCCTTTTCAAAATACACAGATCCATCTGTAACAAAGACAACCATCAACTGAACCAACCAGCACAAACCTCCAGTCCAAAGCACACACCCCTACTAGCTCGACAGGCAAATCAACCACTTCCATAGAAGGTAAATGTCATTTTCATTATTGGAATATATCTAACATGTCACATTTCACAAGATTCCTTCATATTTCACCTCCTTCATATTTCACCTCCAGTTTTGTTTTTCTTACCGTGTATATGTATTAATACTCTGTATGACTGTTCTCCCTCTCTTGCCTTTGCCTACACGTGACTAAAGAAGATGTAGGATTATTCACTCAGTTCAAGTCAATTCAATTCAACTCAATTCAATTTCGTTTTTCTCGGAGCTTTCTCTACACAAAGTAGCGAACATAATTTATGTAATTAAAGAAAGGAATGTCGTTATGTTAATGATCGCAACTATAGACGTTTATAATTGGCTTAAGATTGTAATTCGTAAAAAAGCGTATATAAGACAAGTTAAATGTGGTAAATTATCCATTCATGATGATCATGATGATGATAATAATGATCATGATGATAATAATAATGATAGTGCTAACAATAATGATGATAAGCATTATTTTGTATGGCGCAGTTTATTTAGAAGCTATAGTCCAAGGCACACAAGGAGAAATAGATGTAGACGAAGAAGAAGAGTCGGAATATACGTGTGCCATGTTCTCTACCTGCTCTACCTCCATCTCTGGACTCAATATAATGATGTATTTACTGTTCTCCCAATATATGCATGTCCATTTAGGTAAATGCATGGTAACGATGCTAGATACTTGTTTTTACACACAGCTCCATATGCATCTCAGTATGCAGCTATAGGCGGTGGAGTTGCAGCAGCAGTAGTGGCAGTATGCATCATTATCATCATTCTCGTTTATAGATGCAAGTGAGTATGGTTACATTCTAAGGTTATAAATAGTCCTTTAAATGTTGAATAATGTCAAGTATAGACTGCATAAGCAGATGTGAATTCAATTTCAATCAATCATCAGTGTATTGTAGTAATTAAGATATTTCAAACAAACGTCAAAAAGCTTTAAATAGGCAGTTACTAGCCTTTGTGCAAGAAGTTCATCCTTCATCTGTAAAAACGTCACATCATAATTCAACATATTAAAGCGAGATGTACAACTTTTTTGGGGAACGAAATAAAATACAGCCAGATAAACTCTCTGACAAAAACCAAACTGTTAATCATTATTTGCAAACAGTATATTGGTAACATAATTCAGACAGTGAAAATAAGCCTACCCGGCCATGGTAGCTGACAGGTATTTTTTCTTCTCCTTACGTATTGCCTCTCTCATTAGGTGCAAGCCGAAACAAGACCCAAACAATGGTTCCGGTCTCGAGGGGATGGCAGGTGAAGAAGCACCACCTCCTGGGTACGAGACTACGATTGTGGCTTCTCCCGAAGCCTCTGGCAGTGACACCTTGCGCATGAACATGGAGGTAAAATGTCCAGAATCGAGCCGCTAAAAATAAGATTTGACCAAGAATCCAGGGGGTGTTTCACAAAGACTAAGATCGACTTTAAGTTGGACTTAACTATGTCAGTGGTTGCTCATATCATTGGTCTCTCAATCATGGTCTTTAGATAATATTTTTCCTTCAATAATGGATGATCAAAACAAGTAAATTCTGTAGATTTGTGACCATGACTTGTACATCCCTGGAGAGAACAATGCCAGTAAATGGTGAGAGAAAATTGGGGCACTAATGGCCTGCCATAGTTAAGTCCAACTTAAAGTCGATCTAAGTCTTTGAGAAACACCCCCAGGACTCATACTCACCTTCGATTAGAAAATCCACAGGTTACCTCTTTATCAATGCATTCTTTGTAATGTTTGCTTGTATGGTGTATGTCTATTTCTAAATAATTTGTCTTGTTTGGCATCTGACTATTTCAATAAAAACCTTTATGGTATAATTATCGTTGATCTGCAACTGACAGAACTAAATTGATCTTTCCCAAACACAGACTCTCATCAACTGAAAGACGTTTTATAGTGGCTGCATCGAAAATGTGGAACGACGTCGCACTTTTCATCAGTAACTCAAAATAAGAACTCGTCTTTGTTTTTAAAAGGTCATTACCCCCCCTCCTTTCCGTGTTATAAATAATTTGATTTAATTATGTTCTTATTAATAGTTTTATTAGTATTATATAGGCTTATTTTATTATTCTTTGTAAGCTTTTTATTGTTGCTTTGGTATGTTTGTGTATTGGTTTTAATTTAACGCCTCTAAATATTGGATATTACTTTCATTTTATATCTTTAAGAACGACCAACAAGGCGAGATCGAGAATGAATATTTAACGCCCCGAATGAAGAGAGAGACCATGGAGGCAGAGTATGTCGACATGAAGACCATAGACAACCAAGTAGTCATGGTAACTGAGGATATCTATGAAAAAATGGCGGACGATGCCGCAGGTAAACACGCCGTAACTTCGAAGGAAGCGGAATATTCGGTTGTAATCTAAAGCTCAAAGGAGGGAAATCTGAGTTCATGATTCTAAGCTCACATAGTCCGTGGGCCAGATGGGGCTACCGTGCACCCCCCCCCCCCTATGATCCTACTTCTTGGGTGTCATTTTGTTCATTGGGATCCATAATATCAGAAAAAAGACGTTCCCAAGAAAAAAACTCATTTGGACACTGTTTTTTTGCTCCTTATTGGAAGATATGTAAAAATGTCAGTTTTTCGTGTTTTGCACACTTTCTTAGGGTTTGTGGATTATGTGCTTACATTTTACCCTGTTTCTCAGCAGATATAACTCTAATCTCCACCAAATTTATAAACAATCTTCGTAAACTATACAACAATAGATAGACAAAATTATTTTTATTTTATTTTATTGTCTTCAATTGTTAATGACGTCATAAATTTGCATATATTTTGATATGCAAATTTCTGTCTCAAAACCTGTCAAAATCACCTGAAAGTTGTATTTTGTCTGCTATTATCATGAAATAAGTTTTCTAGCCCCCTAATGTGGTGTAATATTATTCATTGATATTTCATCTGATGTTTCCCGCAAACAATCAGTATCAGTCAACTCGTATGCGCACCAAATTTGTTGCGTTGCTGCAACAGTTTGATTGGCTTGACTTTGCCGGTTCCTTTAAATGCGCTTGTGGAGTCACAGCCTGAGAAAGCATGTAGTCCAAGAGGTGCTGGGCAAAATAAGTGACGTCTTTGAGTCGCTGCTTATTGCCTCTCCCTGTTTGGAAGAGTAATGTAATGTCTGGAGTGAGATGAGCGTAATGAAGCAATATACAAATCTATCGCTGATTGGGCTTTTGATCTGCACATGATCACAACCTTGCTCCTTTACCGTATTGGCAGTAAAGGATCACGCGTGAATCTGTTTCTTCTTGGGTTGAGTTGAGAGATGGAATCTCAGAACACAGTGTCTCTCTCCCATTCTGAGAAGTGAGCAGTTGGGCTTCTCCTTCTTTGATGAATTTCATCTTTTCCCATACAGCCTCTTAGCCCGGCTCTTAGCCGTGTCGTGCTTACTCCAGACATCCAGAAGAACTTGAATATTGTTTCTTATTCTCTTCCAGTCAGATGGTCTTTTGGTATTGCCTCCTTTAATCATCATCTTCTCTGCACACCCATACCGTGTCCGTTCACTTGACTTCACAGAGTCTGGCTTGTACATGTCTGTGCTGAAGATGACATCGCATTTGGACAACACTCCATTGTGAATTTTGATGCAAATATCGTGGAAGTATGCAGGCATCTCTTTTAGGTAGTAGAAAACAGCATTGCCATCTTCCACTACCAAGGAATTGCCAGTGGTTGGAGGTTGCGAGTTCTCTACATCCTTCCGGAGATAGTGTAGGCCCTTAAATGTATCTGTCTTAGCAAAGAAGTTGTTCCAACGTTCCAATTGGGTAGAGAACAGGGATCAAAGAATTCCCGTAGATCAAGTTGGCTGCCTGAACTTTGTGCCTTTACCATCAGCTGGATAGCAATGTCCCCTTGTTGCTTGTACTATATTACTTTTCGTTGGGATGTTTTAAGCTTGAATTTCTTTTTTGTCTCTGCCATGGTTTGAGCTTCAGTTTCTTGATGGGGTCAGAGAACGATGTCTTTTTCTCTAATCGCTCTTTGATGAACATCTCTTCCTGGTCTTTCCCTGTGGTAATTGCATGCATGACATCTTTCTCAACCTCAGCTGCAACGCGGGCACCGGAAGAGAAAACATACAATCCATTCTTGCCATCAACATCAACATGATTGAGGAAGCTTTTTACATCATCTATGGCCTTTTTTTTAATACACATCCCTCACTTTTCCTCATCTGAGTTGGTTGTTGATCTCTGTGTTTATTTCCACGGTGAGCATCAAACGTCATATCTGCATATATTCGAGCCCACCTCTGATATACACTGTAGTTCTCAATTATGCCAGAGAGACCGACACCACTACCACCTCAACCGCGAGATTTGCCATGCTTCAGGATTATCTCCTCAATTATCTTGTCGACAGGACATCGGTTCCCTGGAATGAGGGACCTGGCAACACTTATTTCACCTCTTTCGAGCAATGTCATGGCACCAGGATGTGAATCTTCAATGTTTACCAAAAATACATCGAGGTAGGTCAGATATCGAGAGTAATTGTGACCAGGTCAGGCATAAGGAACTGGCAGTGCAAGTACAATGGACAGTTATTTTCTTTCACAGACCTGATCAATGTAAGATCAGTCCAAACGCAATCAACATACGACATCAAAAATTGTGCCGTCTTCCAAAGAGATCCTCTTCGAACATCAGCTTTGAAGCTCTCATATGACTCTATCAACACCTTCAGATCTGCATTAGCCACAACCTCAGCAAGCCTCTCCTTTGTTGGTGATCGAATTAGCTCTTGGAAGATATTCTTTGATTCCTCAGCTATACCAACAAGTGCATCAACTTTTTCAGTCATTGACAGGAACTCATAAAAAAGGAGCCTTTCTAAGCCCTCCACCATTGTCTTGTGACAATGCAGACTCCTGTCGCAGTTCTTTCCTGTTATGACGTCTTTCATAGACCCAGAAGACATGAGACCAGCTTCCAAGAGGATATCTTCAAGTCCGGATCCTTCTATTTTCTTTCCCAGCACAAATCAAATGGAAAGTGCCAATCAACACGATGTGTTTCTTGTAAGTTTATGGATGACTCCAAATGAGAGGATATGCCTACCGATACATGCACACGCCCATGTCAAATGTTGTTATGACATAGTCTTGGCCAACCTCGCGGCTTGCTTCTTCTGCAGCTCTCAGGCACTCTTGGATTGTATCGAATTCTGTTATGGGATATTTTATTACAGGATAGTAATCTATGGTCGTCACATTTGAAGGCACCTCCCATGTTACTGAGACAAATCCAGCTCAACCTGGAAGCTCTTGACCTATCTCTCCACGACTTTTTCGGACAAGCATCCGCGCAATATCATTTCTGGCACATTGTTTGAATGCTTTATATCGGTTGACATAGCAAGGTGGAAGAGGACCTTCATTTTCATTAGCCAAGGAACTTTCTTTGGTTCATGTACGTGCTACTGAGGGTACTGTGCTATTTGAAGATTCAACTGTCTCATAGAAATCTCCTGCAGCATAATCCCATGGGCTGTGTGGACAGATGGCGGACTACCTGTCTAGATAGAATACCGAAAGTCTACTGTAGCGCTTGTGCTATGGCAGATTCAAGCTCAAGTGAAAATGAATAGCTTTCTGAATGAACAAGGCGATTCAGGAATGTGATCAATTGAGCACTGCGTAAGAGATGTCTCAGAGTCATCCATACCACAATATGCTTGGACATTTTCCACTTTCCATTTGTGGCTGTCCTACATATATCTTGCCCAAGAGATATGACAAGTCTAGTCACTCTTTGTGATGGTCGAGATGGATTTCCACTCAACAAATGGTTCAGAAATTTCTCTAGCTCAGTGGGAATCTGGTCAACTGTGGGCTACTTCCATTGTTCTCTGTTAAGCTACTTCATCGTACTTGCCACTTCTCCATTAATCTGGTTTTTAGTTCGCCACATATTTCTTCCGACAATTCTTGTGATTTCTTGCTTCTGCAGCAAACAGATCAACTTCCAGGATTCTCAAAAGTAGGTCTTCATCACCCCCTCTCTTTGCAACATCTACAACATTTTGCCACCCACCAAAATCTAACATTGGTGTACTTTCTGTTGTCCAAGAGCTTTTCACTTTGATTAATTTTGGGCCTTCCTTTTTACAAAAGATACAATCAGTTGACGATCTGGGTGGACGGGATGTTGAAGGTCCTATGGCATCAGATAAGATCTCTGACAGTCGATTGAGATTCTTGGTAAAAAGTTGGTAGCAATCCCGATGATAACTGTGCACGTCTGAAATGTCTTCAAGAATGAGGATGCATGCTTCTTCCATTGCTCATTGTGTCAAGTTAGTTGAAATTCGTAAAATTGTACCCCGTATACGTTTGATCGTTCATTTGTATAAACAACAAAACTATATTATAGCATATAATGGGATTAATGACCAACTGCTGAATGAGTTGGCTTTGTCTGATCCCCCCTCTTCAGGCTGATACTATAAAAGGAAACAATGATGTATGTGGTAATATACTGTTTTTGATTTAGTTTGATGTTAACAGGCTAGCCCCAATAGTATTTGAGATACTGCCCTGTTGAGCTTTTGTTTTTTTAAACAGGAACTTTAATTGAATGTACATTATATATACAGAATGTATTAATCGTAATATGCGGGGAGAGGGGGGGGGGGGGGGGGGATACGAGTTGACTGATACTGAACACAATTTGCGAGAAACATCAGATGAAATATCAATGAATAATATTACACCACGTTAGGGGGCTAGAAAACTTATTTCATGATAGTAGCACACAAAATACAACTTTCAGGTGATTTTGACAGGTTTTGAGACAGAAATTTGCATATCAAAATATATGCAAATTTATGACGTCATTAACAATTGAAGACAATAAAATAAAATAAAATAATTGTGTCTACCTATTGTTGTATAGTTTACAAAGATTGTTTATAAATTTGGTGGAGATTAGAGTTATATCTGCTGAAAAACGGGGTAAAATGTAAGCACATAATCCACAAACCCTAAGAAAATGTACAATACACGGAAAACTGATATGTTTACATAATAAATAATGGGAAAAAAAACAATGTCTACATGAGTTGACTGAATTTTCTTCGCAGGAAACATCAGATAACATATAAATGAATAATTTTACACCAAATTAGGGGGTTTGAAAACTTATTTCATGATAATAGCAGACAAAATACAACTTTCAGGTGATTTTGACAGGTTTTGAGACAGAAATTTGCATATCAAAATATATGCAAATTTATGACGTCATTAACAATTGAAGACAATAAAATAAATTAAAATAATTGTGTCTACCTATTGTTGTATAGTTTATGAAGATTGTTTATAAATTTGGTGGAGATTAGAGTTATATCTGCTGAGAAACGGGGTAAAATGTAAGCACATA